CTTTTTGTTTCTATATTTTTCTTTACAATGTATCTATTCATGCATGGATACAGATATAGAATGATAGGTACGTACATTTGAGAAAAGACGCGTGTAAGCATCACTCCTTACCCACTTTATTCGAAGGCAACATTGAATCAACAGAAATGAAGGTTTTCAGTTTAATCGAAGTATCGTTCATATTGCTGCTGTTCGTGAGTTATTCGACTTGATATTTTAAGTAAATATAATGGAAACAGAAACGTTAAATGAGACCCAGGTCACTGAGCTACATTAGATTGGACAGCGCATATTACCTATGTTCATAATAGATGCGCTAAAATCTTATTTCTCATGCATCAACTGAAACAAGTCTGTCATGCAGCAGTATTGGATCAAATATATAAGTCTTATACATATCCTATTTTTATGTACGGTTCAACCATCTACTCTTCTACATACGTCACATCTCTGGATTCTTTATCAATATTACAGTATAAACATGCGTGTTTGGTCTCCGCTTGTAAGCAATTAACCAATAAACAAAAAATTCTTGAGTGCTCAGGATGGATTGATGTTATTGAATCATTTAAGAATAACGTTCTCATACATGGATTTAAAATATTAAACGGACTCTGTCCCGTATATCTAAAAAGCAAATTAAGTTTTAAAAATAACAAAAACTACGCCTTGAGATACCAAACATCATCTAAACTTATAACGCTCACCGGATCAAAAAAATTTGAGCTTTCTTTTTTTCCACGATTTGTCACCCAATGGAATCAGTTGACGAAAGAAACTCAGACTTGTACTAAACTCAGTATTTTTTTGAAAAAAATTACTTGCTAGCTCAAAAAATTAAACGTTTTTAGAATGTATAATATTGAAAGAAAATACGATCAAATCTATTATCAGCCATGCTGTAGCTTTTCAGATCTGAATTCTCATTTTTTTCTTAAAAATCTCTCTTCTAGTAATCACTGTAAATGCGGTTCGATTGAAACGCTTGATCATTTCTTCTTTGTCTGTCATCAGTATACACCTTGTCGAAATATACTGTTACAGAAAGTCTCTGACTTGATGCTTAGTAACCAAAAACAACCCTAAATTTACCTGTCTTAAAATGTAAATTAGACCGCGAGCAGTTCATATATATTTATTCAATGGTTATTGAATTCATAAAAGCATCACGACGCTTTGATATGTAACACACACCTAGCACATTGATTCAAATGTATCTTTCTAGCACCCCCCTCTCCACTGTCACTATGCACATGTTTAGTTTAAATTTTTCTTCTCTCTTTCTTTCTTATTCTTTTCTTTCTTGGGTTTTCTTTTTTTGTTTTTTTTTCTTCTCTTTTGTATACGTTTAAGATTATCCCAATTTTCTTTGAAGCATGGTTGTCTACGAAACATTTAATTCAGACTACTAAGTACAATGCCCTTCGGCGATTCTAAGTTTTCTGATACCCTGATATGCCTTTTCTTACCTTTGTTTTTTATCATAATAAATAGTTTAAATCAAACGAAAACGTTAAATGAGACCCAGGTCACTGAGCTGCTCGCATGTTATTTTGTAAAACTATAAAGAGTTTTCAGCTGAAATGCCTAGCCACTTTTTCATTTCACTCTAACCTTCAAAACGGTAGGGAAAAGGTACTCCCTGTTTTTGTCTTCATTGTGCACCCTTGAGAAGCCAAATCACGTTTACTACGTATGAAACTGTTTCTTCCGAAATGAACAAAGCTTTCTTCAACAAAACGGGCATTTCTCACTCAGCCTCGGTTTAAAAACTAGCTAGATGGGTAAAAACGAACACAGAATTCAATTGGCTTCCCGGAAAGTTGCTCAGAAGCCGAGTTTTAGAATACTTGTGTCAAGATACTTTTTGTTCCAAATCATTGACAAACTATCTGTGTTAGTAGAGAAGTCAGTCTGCCACAAAATGAGATCTTGTGAAGCTTTGTACGAAGATTCACCATCACGATATTCGTTTTTCAATGATTGAAGTCCATTGTCTTGGATAAAATAGTTTGCTTTCTCAGCTACAACATACTTTCAGGTAGCCCGACACGATCTCATTTTGTAGAAAACTCTAGAGCTTGCTGCGAAAGAGTATGCACAATACTGTGATAGATCTTTTACTAGTGAGTCAAAAGAAATAAGATCATTCGTCTATGAATCATTCATAACAGATATGGAAGGAAAAGCTGCCAAGTTTGAAATTGGTGATAACTAACCAGTTATAGGATTAGAAACAACGCTATCTGTCAACGTTCCAATGATCGCAACCGGGCCATTATCAGCAAGATTAGACGAGGAGTGTAACTGTAGCGATTTTCATTCTGAATTGTCAACGGTATCTCATCAGTTGACGTTCTGACCTGTCAACGATATTTTATCAACTGACATCCACCGATCTAACATTCTCGAAAGAGCGAAATCTTCATTTTTTCCTGGAAAGGTGATTGATTTGGGTGAATATCCCGTGTCAAAAATGTTTGAGAAATTTATCTGTTTTTTCCGTTTTTCTGCTCGTTATTTGCCTCTTTTCTTCAGTTATGTTTGCTCCCGAGAAACTATTAGAGATGATTGGTAATGAGTCTTTTCTACTTATACCGAACTCTAATATAACGACATAATATTTTACATTGACAGTTCAGAACGCCAAGTGATAAGATATCGTTGCCGTTCCCGCCAAATCAACGTGAACGACTACAGCTCTGGATTATCTTTGCCATGAACAATGTATCATTCGTGCAACCACATCAAGAAAATGGATATCTTGGAGAATTTCCCTTTTCGGGAAAACGAAAAATGGCACTATTTCCCAGCACGCGAACTCTACAGAACTTCCAGGCACCTGATGGGCTTCACAGCCCTGTAGTCAGATAAAAGATAGCGGATACTCAGTGTGTACATGACTAAACAGTACCACAGTCTTATCTGGATTTCCTTTCTAAGTGTTTGGATGTTAAAATTTCTTCCGAATTCACACTGTCAAATATGTCACACGTCTTTACTCTCTAAAAAAAAAGGTGCCCGCTGGAACCTTTTGAGGTTCTAGCCGAGGTGCAAAACCCTTTTAAGGTTCAGTAGTTTTTGCACTGAACCATCAAAGATTCTAACCGATGTCAAGAATCAATTCGAATAAAAATGGTTCAACATTTTAAAAGGGTTCTAGCTTGAACCTTTGTTTTTTCTACTGTACCATTTTGCAGCTGCAGTCATCCTGCGTATCTGTGTCAAAGGCTAACATATAGACCTTTTCTCCTCTTTGTTCAACTCTCTTTGTCTCTTATATTCTCTCAATATATTTCTGTATTTGTACAATGTGATATATATGTTGACAGGATGCGATGTCCTGCGTATCCAACCTGCTGAGATATTTTTATTGATTGCCTCTTTCTGTATCTTTTCTTACTAAATTGCGAAAAACACAAGCAGCAGAGATGGTGCCGACTATAATTTCTTCATTTGTGGAGTGCGACACGAGTTAAAACAATTCTCGAGGGAGTTGCTTAGCTTGGAAAAACGTTCCTTTAAAGCGGATTTTAGTTAGTTTTGGTGTCTGTGAAAATAACCTTTTACAGGAAGAAGAGTTTTTTGAAAGCAAAAGAAAAATTTGTTTTTTGTGGTAATGAGAATCTTCATTTACTTTTGTTTCTAGGTTTTCTTTCAAGAAGATTGAAATTAGCGAGTAAATGAGAAGAAAGCTAAGAGTCGCTAGAAAAGTATTTATGAAGAAGAAAGCTTTAGTCAAAAGTAGAAAAGCTTTAGCAATAAGACAAAAAGCGTTCTTCCACTTTCTCATTGTCAAATGTGCTACACGTCTCTAGCTTTCTAGGTTTTCAGGTTTTCAACTGTCAAATGTTTCGCACATTTTCCCTTGTGAAATGTTTCACACTTCTTTGGGTTTCCACCTTTTTAGCTTTTTAGGTTGTTCCATTTTCGCACTGTCAAATGTTTATCACAATTTCCAATTCTCAAATGCACAGTGAGCACCCAGGCGAACATTTGACGAAAGTGACTTTTTTAAGATTTGAACAATGGTATAAATATACCAATATGTGCTCTATCTTCTCCTCTTTTTCTCCAATTGATATCTTCTCTGTCAATTTTACTTCTTTTTTTACGTAGACGTGCTACTTTTAAACAAACATCTTTAGATTCGGCTCGTGCAAATAATTCATTCTTTCCTCATACTTTAAAAAAATGGTCAGCACTTCCTGACCACATAAAAAGTACCTCTTTAAACAATTTTCCTACTTTCAGTAAATGTCGCATACTCAAAGGTGTGATCACAATATTGTTTTTTACTCTCTGTCTGTTACCGTTCCGGAGTTTTCTAAAGTTCAAAGACCGAAAACTACCCTTCAATGTAAATATACCATAAATATACCTCCCTAAACAATTTTCGTACACAAATTTCTATGTTTTACGATGTCAAAATATCTCATTATCGTGTCAACATTGATCGTTTCAGCGACGTTGTTTTTAACAGAATCTGCGCTGATTTTTCAATACTTAACGACGACTTAAGGGCCCGCCAACAGAAAGACTTTTTTGTCTTACATATAATTTTAATCCTACTTTCAGCAAATGTCGCACACTGAGAGGTGTGATCGCAATATTGTTTTTTACTCTCTGTCTGTTACCGTTCCGGAGTTTTGTAGAGTTCAAGACCGAAAACCACCCTTCACTGTAAATCCCTTTTCCTTAATACAGCTCAAGACAGATATCTCGTATTGGTTCTATTTTAAAAGAGATACCTAACTGGGAGTACTGATGGGATCAGATTTTTAATTAGGCGTGCTGATTCTCTAGAGCCTGAAAAATCCTGAAAGATCTTTGCAAGTTTTCCAAAGTGCCTTTGCTCCTAAGGAACTAGGGTATACTAAAAAAACTCTACTCCCATCGATCCTCACATGCCCTGTATGATTAAAAAGAATAACTTTCTCGATGATGAACTGTTACTAAGGCCCCCCTGTTAGAAACCTATCTCTGAAACTATAAGTCCGATGTTGACCAAACTTTTGGGAGATGCTGATCTTGCGAAAGTATGGCGCCAAAATTTTTTGTTTGGCTCCATCGTGCATAGATGTGGCAACAATAGTGATCAAAATGAGTCTATTCGTAGTTCCCAGATTTCTCGGTAACGAAACGTTGTGGAGAGCTCGGGCTGGTCTTAAATTAACGAAAAAACAAGTGGCTACAGGCTGACAGAGCCGGACTCTTGATACTTTGCTTTCAAGTTAATGGTGAGCGTCAAAAGTCCAAAACCCGAAAAAGTCTCATTAAGTTTGGTACCGATATTGTTTTAATAGCAAATCTAGACTGAATAACAAACATCGGGCTGTGTCAGCCACTAGCCACACCTGTCAGCTTCCATTTAAGACCTTCCCGAGCTCTGTGAGATGTTTCGTTACGGAAAAATCTGGAAGGTACGAAATGGTGTTAAAGTGAAAGGCACTTTCGAGATATGGTGGCGCCAGTATCGAATGCAAGTTTTAGGGCTTCTAGCAAAACTGACATAACTCTTAATCAGAATATCATTCAGAGCTGGGAAATATCTCATTTTTATCAGAACTGTTTGCTCTATTCTTTGGTGTTATTGAAAGTAATTTTCAGTTTGCTTTTTAATCGAAAAGTAAACCTTTTTCGAAAAGCCAGCTATTCAAGGTTTTCAGAAACGTTTTCTAAAGACCTCCATACCCCTTCGATCAGGATCAAATAACATTGGATTCTTATAGTAGATATCGTGGGCCATCTGATGATTTATTTATCTCAACATCAACTTTTTTTATAAAACAATATAAGTCTCTGACGGAGGGCTTAAGAAAAGAGATTTACAGTAGACGACGTTAGACAAAAAACGTGTTTTGAGAGAAAACGCTGTGCTTTCGTTGATCTGTTTTACGACATGTAGAAAAATGCTACTGGTTTTGAGCGCAAGATTATACAGAGCTGTACAACGTCTTATTATGATCAAAAAAGTCTGCTCTATCAATCTACGTGTGCAGAAAAGTGTACTAGCTTAAGAGAGGATTCGTGAGTGGATCGAGGATGCCGTCATAAAACGGTTACTTGAAAAACGGGCACCTGACTAAGTTTGTAACCTCTTATAGCGGGGAAGGTGTGATAGTGCCTTGAGATTCTCACCAATCTAATACATTTGTCTGGTCCAAAAGAGATCATTCTTTCGATTTTAGAGTAGAGTTGTACAGCGCACGATATTTTCTGCGTGATAACTACAACGTATCTGTACCGTACGAACTGCTTGTGCTCTGTCCCCACTTTGCTAGTGCGTATGCTGGTTGTCCAGATCAATCAGTCTGTTCAGCTGGTGTTGCACGGAAACTGGATTCTGATTTACTTACAATTCAACAGCGTTTATCATTAATAAAACACAAAAATATTAATACTGAGCGGAAAAGTTATAACACTGCGAACTATATTGAAACAGGATCCTACAGTTTTCCTTTTTATTTTTCTTGTAGTATCTGTACTTGTAACTTTTTCTTTTTTCTGTAGATAACAAATTGATGTTGTACACATGTGCACAAGAAGCCAATTTATTTGTAGAAAATTATATACAGCACTATCAAACAACGGAAAGTTTGTATTACCCGATTAAAGCGTGTGTTGCCGTTTTAAACAAAGCGGCGTTTATATCAAGAGGTCGGGTTCTTAAGTATATGAGTTCCATCTAAGAAACCCTTTCAATGATAATAATAGTTCATTTGTTAATATTTTTGTGTTTTAGAAATGGATTGATTATTGTCGATAAACAAGATGGTAAGAAGACAAAAGCTGATGACCAGTATGTTTAAATCTATTCTTCAATTCTAGGAACAACGGTGAAAGACGAAGAAGACGATGATGACAAAGAAAAAAGTAAAGAAGTAAGTGGTACAATGTTCTCCTGTTTTTTTCCTTACTAATTTCTTTTTCTTTTAGAAGTTTGAAAGATGCGTTATGGAATGAACGTATTTTAACAAGAATGCGAAAAAGAAATATTCGCAATTAAAAATAAATTGTTTTTTTGATTTGAAATTGTTTGTTAGAGGAATAAAACTCTGTTTTTGTTTTCTTTCTTTTTGTTGCTATTTGTAAAAATAAAATGAAACATACGTTTTAATCATGTCCAGCACTGAAGAGAGAAGAACAGTCTCTGGAGATGAAGATATTATTTAGCAAAAGCACCACACGTAACAAAATCATCTGAATTCATATTTCTGCCTAAAGTTAAACAATGAAAACCTTTCCTTATTCGGTGCCTGAACTGGAAACTCCTTGAGGGATTTGAAAATAATAATTTCGGATGATTTATAATGCAATTATTAAAATATTTTTTCTGGAAAACGTTTTTGAATTTACTGAATTTAACTGAAATTAGCTGAATTTAAGTGAATTTACGAGGGAACCACCCGAGGTGCTAAAAAGCTTTTCGACTGGGGGTTTCATGGTTCGATAGGGCATAGCTAGGTATGATATATCCTAGCTTGGTTCGTGCGGAAGTTGCTTCTAGGAAGAGTTATGAATTTTTTAAGTTATAAGCAGAATTCCCACTTTTACCGCTAAATTTTCGTTTTTTCATATAAAAAAAGTATTAGTTTTATATTTTTCTTATATATATCATAACCACCCGTTTTAATCTTTTAAAAGGATCAATTGAAAATAGATAAGGATCTGAGAAAAAAAAATTTACAACATTTTTTCTAGTTAT